GGTCAAATTGGGACAAAAAGCTCCTAGTGGTGGATTCTTTTTATACTGCTTGTTGTGTAGGGATCTTTGGCCTGAATCAGTTTTCTTTTTTTTTATTTTTTGGTGAGGAAGATTAGCCCTGAGCTAACATCTGTTGCCAATGCTCCTCTTTTTGCTGAGAAAGATTGGCCCTGGGCTAACGTCTGTGCCCATCTTCCCCTACTTTACGTGTGGGGCGCCTGCCACAGCATGGTTTGATGAGCTGTGCGTAGGTCCAAGTCCGGGATCCAAAGCCTGGGCTGCTGAAGTGGAGTGCATGAACTTAACCACCACGCCACTGGGCCGGCCCCTCAATTTTCTTTTTAAATTAATATCCTTTATTTTTTAGAGCAGTTTTAGATTCACAGCAAAATTGAATGGAAAGTCCAGAGAGTTCCCACATATCCCTTGTCTTCACACACATATAACCTCCCCCACTATGAATGTCCCATACTACTGTGGTACCCTGAATCACTTTTTTTTTTTTTTGTGAGGAAGATCAGCCCTGAGCTAACATCAATGCTAATCCTCCTCTTTTTGCTGAGGAAGACTGGCTCTGAGCTAACATCTATTGCCAATCCTCCTCCTTTTTTTTTCCCAAAGCCCCAGTAGATAGTTGTATGTCATAGCTGCACATCCTTCTAGTTGCTGTACATGGGACGCTGCCTCAGCATGGCGGGAGAAGCGGTGCGTCTGTACACGCCAGGGATCCGAACCCGGGGCCGCCAGCAGCAGAGCGCGCGCACTTAACCGCTAAGCCATGGGGCCCGCCCCTGAATCACTTTTAACCGCCTGAGAATCTGTGGCACAGCTGGAGTTTTGACTCAGTTTCATTGAAGCCCTACACCTGTGTTCATACCTCTATAGTACTTTGTCACCAGTGTAAACGACAAGATCAGTAGTGGGACAGGGAGAGGCTTCACTTACTCAGGGTCTAGCCATGGTGGACCTCTCAGATCAACTCCTGTTTCAAAAGGCAGCTATGGTATAAGTTTTTCTATCTGGCGTTATTTCCTAGTAAAGCTCATCACTCATTCTGTGATAACTTTGAATTCTGCGTGTGTTTCTGTTATTATACCTGCCATATTCTAGTTAAACCATTAATTTATTGCTGAATGGTCTCCTTCAGCTAAAGAACCATGTCTTATTTCTTTGTGTCTAGTGCACAACACAATGTCTGGCACATGGAAAGTATTAATACTTATTAACTCGACTTTAATAAGTATCTTTTACGTGTCAGGCATTTCAATAAGGATTTAACGCACTGTAGCTTTTAGTCCTCAGAACAACCATACATAAATGCTACTCAGTCTATTTCAGAGATGAGAAAACAGAAACCAGATAATTTAACTGATTTCCACAAGATCGTATATATAGCCAAGCTGGTACATCCAAAAAACACTATAAATGATGTATCTAGAGCCCACAGATTATCAGTGTATGAAATGTGGAAAAAAGGATGTCAAAAATATAAAACACTTCAAAATTCAACTGAATAAATGTTTAAATAACTAAATTCAACAGCCTCATTACATGTTACATTAGTATTCACAAAATTTCATTTCATTTAAAAAGAATTTGTAGTTCGATTTCTCACTTCACACAATAATTACTGAGAAATCATAGCCAACTGTAAATGAGTTATTCAAAGCTAAAGGGATCAAAAACTGATTTTAAAATTTTACAGCCAGTATATTTAATATGACAAGTACTAAATATTAAATATATTTGATATGAAGAGAGTGTATCACAAAAATAAGAATGCTCAGTGCCTACCAAGCCCTAAGATATGGCACTGAAGCAAGTGGTGGACTGGTATTTACATTTTCACTTTTCTATTCTGCCTTCTGTGATGACTATTTTATTTGGTAATTGATAATAAGTATTTTGATAATTAAATCAAAACTGCATGGAAATTATCAAAAATACATTTTTTTTCTTATGTAAATATTGACTAAGAACATATACATTTACTCCAGCTGTCTCGTTTGCAGCAAAGCATTCCTGGTCTTTGAGGTGTGAATATATGACTTGATTATACTTCAAATACTTTTAATGAGAACATTATTTTACATTTTTACTTCCTGTGTTTTTAACATCTAACTTTCTATTTAGGCATATATTATTAAATGCTGTTATTAAAATGTCTTCCCATGTGTTGAGCCAATTTATCTAATAGATACAGCTATTAACATTTATTTGAATTGCCTAGCAATACAGATTACATTATAGTACTAATAATTTCCTTTTTTCGTAGCTTTATTGAGATATATATCATATGCTATAAAATTCATCTGTTAAATTATACAGTTAGGTGGTTTTTAATGTGTCCACAGAGTTTTGCAACCATCACCACAATAGAATTTTAGCCAAATAGAAACACTGTACAAATTATTAGTGACTCCCAATCTCATCCTCTCCCCACTCTCTGGCAACCACTCATCTACTTTCTGTCTCCATGAATTTGCCTATTCTTGATATTTCACATAAATGGAATCATACAATATCTGGTCTTTTGTGAATGGCTTCTTTCACTTAGTTTAATATTTTCAAGGTTTGTCCATGTTGTATGTATCACTACTTCATGCTTTTTATTGCTGAATAATATTTCATTGCATGGGTATACCACATTTTGTTTATCCTTCCAATAGTCAGTGGACATGAGCTTATTTTCATTTTTGACTATTATGAATAATATTGCTATGAACACTTGTGTATAAGTTTTTGGTGGAAATATGTTTGCATTTCTCTTTAGTATACACCTAGCAGTGAAATTGCTGGGTCATATCACATCTATGTCTAATTTTTTGAGGACCTGCCAAAGCGGCTGCACCATTTTACATTTCCACCAGCAGTGTATGCAGGTTTCAATTTCTCTGCATCCTCACCAACATTTGTTATTGTCTGTCTTTTTATTTTGGCCATTCTAGTGGGTGTGAAGTGGTATCGCATTATGATTTTAATTTGCATTTCCCTAGTGACTAATGATGTTGAGCATCTTTTCTTGTAATTATTGGCCATGTGTATATCTTTAGAGAAATGTCTATTGAAATCCTTTACCCTTTTTAAAATTTGGTTACTTGTCTTTTTAGTGTTGAATTGTAAGAGGTTTTTAAAATATATTCTGGATAAAAGTCCCTTATCACATATATGACTTGCAAATATGTTTTTCCTTCTTGAACTATCTTTTCATTTTCTTGATGGTGCCATTTGCACAAAGGTTTAAATTTTAATCATGCGCAATTTTTCTATTTTCTTTCATTGCTTATGCTTTCATGATATCATATCTAAGAAGCCATTGCCTAATCCAAGGTTACAAATTTACTCCTGTTTTCTTCTAGGAGTTTTATAATTTTAGTTCTTACATCTATTATTCATTTTGAGTTAATATTTGTGTGTGGTGTAAGCTAGGTTTCCAAATTCATTCTTTTGTATGTGGACATCCATTTGTCCCAGTGCCGTTTATTGGCGAGACTAATCTTTTCCCTGTTGAATTAATTGTCTTGGTACTCTTGTCAAATATCAATTGATTATAAATTCTAGACTTTCAAATCTATTGCATTAATCTCTGAATCTATACTTATGCCAGAGCCGCCTTGTCTTGGTTACTGTAGATTTACAGCATGTTTTGAAATAAGGAAAAGTAAGCCTTCCAAATTTGTTCTTTTGAAAACTATATTGGCTATCTACCTTTCCTTGCATTTCCATTTTAATTTTAGAATTAGCCTGTCATTCTGCAAAAAAGCCAAATGAGATTTTGATGAGACTAGTGTTTAATCTGTAGATGAATTTGGATAGTATTGCCCTCCTAACAGTATTAAGTTATTGGATGTCCTTCCATTTATTTAGACCTTCTTTAATTTTTGTCAACAGTTTTATAGTTTTCAGTGTACAAGTCTTACACTTTTAAACTTGTTCCTAGATACTTTATTCTTTTTGCTGCTTTTATAAATGTGGTTTTAAAATAATTTTTGGATTATTCATTATAGTTGTATATAGAAATTCACTTGATTTTTGTATATTGGTGTTGTACCTTGCCCCATTACTGAAATCGTATATTAGTTCTAATAGTTTTTTTAGTGGATTCCTTAGGATTTTCCAAATTTAAGACCATGTCATCTGCAAATAGAGATAGTTTTACCTCTTTTCCAATCTGAATACCTTTTATTTCTTTTTCTTGCCTAGTTGTACTGGCTACATCTTCAGGATAATGTTTAACAGAAGCAGTGAGAGTAGACCTTTGTGTCTTTGTGTCTTAATCTCAGGCAGAAAGCATTCAGTCTTTTTTCATTATGCATGGTTTTGTTGTGGCTTTTTTTTCTTTTGTAGAAGCCCTTTATTACATTGAGGAGTTCCTTTCTATTCTTGTTTGCTGAGGGTTATGTTTGTTTTTGTTTTTTTAATCATGAAAGGGTATTGGGTTTTGTCAAAAGCTTTTTCTGTATCTATTGAGATGAGCGTGTGGTTTTTGTTTTTTCTGTTAACATGGTGTGTTACACTGATTTCTAGGATGTTAGAACAACCTTACATTCCTGAGATCGATCCCAATTGGTCATGGTGAGTAATCCTTTGTAGATATTGCTGGATTCAGTTTGCAAGTACTTTTTTGTGAGTTTTTGCATTTATGTTCTTATGGAAGATTGATCTATAGTGTTCTTTCCTTGTAATGCATTTGTCTGCTGTTGCTATCGGGGTAATACTGGTCTCATAAAATGAAGTTAGAGGTTCCCTCCTCTTTCATTTTTTAGGAAATGTCTGTGAAGTCTTGGTAATTCTTTAACATTTGGTATAATTCACCTATGGAGTCATCTGGGCCTGGGCTTTATTTGTTGGATGATTTAAGATTACTAATTCAATCCCCTTGCTTGTTATATGTCTTTCCAGATTATGTATTTCTTTTTGAGTCAGTTTTGGTAGATAGTGTTTTTCTGGGAATTTATCCATTTCACCTAAGTTACCTTATTTTTATGAGATGTCCTTACTTTCATTCTTGATTCAGTAATTTGAACCCTCTGCCTTTTTTCTTGGTTATTTTGGCTAAATTTTCATCAATTTTGTTGATCTTTTCAAAGAACCAACTTTTGATTTTATTTATTTATTCTCTATTGTTTTTCTTTTCTCTATATCATTTATTTCTGTTCTAACCTTTATTATTCCCTTCCTTCTGCTTGATTTGGGTTTAGTTTGTTCTTCTTTTTCTGGTTTCTTAAGATTGAAGATTAGTTTTATTCATTTTTTTAAAAATAAGCATTTATAGATATACATTTCCCTCTAAGAACTGCTTAGCCACCCGTAAAGTTTAGTATGTTGTGTTTTCATTTTATTCATCTGAAAGAATATTCTAATTTCACTTATATTATTTTTTCCCTTGATCCATTGATTTTTTTTTATTGAGGTAACATTGGTTTTTAGCATTATATAAATTTCAGGTGTATATCATTATATTTTGATTTCTGGGTAGACAACATCATGTTCACCACCCAAAGACTAACTACAATCCATCATTATACACATGTGCTTAATCACCCCTTTCACTTTCCTCTCTCCCTACTTCCCCTCAGGTAACCACCAATTCAATCTATGTCTTTTTGCATTTATTTGTTGTGTTTTTATCTTCTATTTATGAGTGAGATCATATGGTATTTGACTTTCTCCTTCTTACTTATTTCGCTTAGCATAATACCCTTAAGGTCCATCCATGCTGTCACTAATAGCGAGATGTCGTCCTTTTTTATGGCTGAGTAGTATTCCAGTGTGTGTATCTACCACATCTTCTTTATCCATTCATCCCTTGATGGGCACTTAGGTTGCTCCCAAGTCTTGGCTATTGTGAATAACGCTGCAGTGAACATTTGGATGCATGTATCTTTACACATTCGTGTTTTCACATTCTTTGGATAAATATCCATCAGTGGAATAGCTGGACCACGTGGTAGTTCTATTCTTAATTTTTTGAGGAATCTCCATACTGTTTTCCACAGTGGCTGCACAAGTTTGCACTCCCATCAGCGTTATATGAGAATTTCCTTTTCTCTACATCCTCTCGAACACTTATTATTTCCTGTCTTATTAATTACAGCCATTCTGATGGTCATGAGATGATATCTCATTGTAGTTTTGATTTGCATTTCCCTGATAGTTAATGATGTTGAATATCTTTCCATGCGCCTGTTGGCCATCTGTATATCTTCCTTGGAGAAATGTCTGTTCAGGTCTTTTGCTCATTTTTTAATTGGGTTGTTAGTTTTTTTGTTATTGAGATGTATGAGTTCTTTATATATTTTGGAGAGTAACCCCTTATGTGATGTATGGTTTGCAAATATCTTCTCCCAATTGTTAGGTTGTCTTTTTGTTTTTTTGATGGTTTCCCTTGCTGTACAGAAGCTTTTTAGTTTGATGTAGTCCCATTTGTTTATTTTTTCTATTGTTTACCTTGCCTGGTCAGACATGGTACTTGAAAATATGCTGCTAAGACTGATGTTAAAGAGCATACTGCTTTTTATTTCTTCTAGAAGTTTCATGGTTTCAGGTCTTACATTCGAGTCTTTAATCCATTTTGAGTAAATTTTTGTGGATGGTGTAAGATAATGGTCTACTTTCATCTTTTTGCATGTGGCTATCCAGTTTTCCCAACACCCTTTATTGAAGAGACTTTCCTTTCTCCATTGTATGTTCTTGGCTCCCTTGTGGAAAATTAGCTGTCCATAGATGTGTGGGTTTATTTCTGAGGTCTGGATTCTGTTCCACTGATCTGTTTGTCTGGTTTTGTGCCAATACCATGCTGTTTTGATTACTCTAGCTTTGTAGTATATTTTTAAGTCAGGGAGTGTGATACTTCTAGCTTTGTTCTTTTTTCTCAGGATTGCTTTGGCTATTCAGAGTCTTTCATTGTTCCATATAAATTTTAGGATTTTTTGTTCTATTTCTGTGAAAAGTGTTTAAATTTAATAGGGATTGCATTGAATCTATAGATTGATTTTGGAAGTATGGACATTTTAACTATGCTAATTCTTCCAATCCAAGAGCACGGAATATCTTTCCATTTCTTTGAGTCTTCTTCAATTTATTTCAATAATGTTTTATAGTTTTCAGTGTACAGTTCTTTCACCTCTTTGGTTAAGTTTATTCCTAGGTATTTTATTCTTTTTGTTGCAATTGTAAATCGGATTGTATTCTTAATTTCTCTTCTACTTCATTATTAGTGTATAGAAACACAACTGATTTTTGTATGTTGATTTTGTATCCTGTAACTTTACCATATTCATTTATCATTTCTAAAAGTTTTTAGGTAGATTCTTTAGGGTTTTCTATATATAAAATCATGTCATCTACAAATAGTGAGAGTTTCACTTCTTCCTTTCTAATTTGGATCCCTTTTATTTCTTTTTCTTGCCTGATTGTTCTGGCTAGGACTTCCAATACTATGTTAAATAAGAGTGGTGAAAGTGGGCATCTTTGCCTGGTTCCTATTCCTAGAGGGATAGCTTTCACTTTTTCTCCATTGAGAATGATATTAGCTGTGGGTTTGTCATATATGGCCTTTATTATGTTGAGGTACTTTCCTTCCATACCCATTTTATTCAGAGTTTTTGTCATAAATGGATGTTGTGTCTTGTCAAATGCTTTCTCTTCATCTATTGAGATGATCATGTGATTTTCTCTCTCTCCCTTTTTTTTTTTGAAGAAGATTAGCCCTTAGCTAACATCTGTTGCCAATCCTCCTCTTTTTTTTTGCTGAGGAAGACTGACCCTGGGCTAACGTCCATGTCCATCTTCCTCTACTTTGTATGGGATGCTGCCACAGCATGGCTTGATAAGTGCTGCATATGTCTGTGCCTGGGATCCGAACCCACAAACCCCAGGCTGGCGAAGTGGAGTGTGTGAACTTAACCACTATGCCACCAGGCTGGCCCTGATCATGTGATTTTTATTCTTCATTTTGTTAATGTGGTGTATTACATTGATTGATTTGTGGATGCTGAACTATCCCTGCATCCCTGGAATAAATCCCAGTTGATCATAGTGTATTATCTTTTTAATGTATTGTTGTATTCAATTTGCTAGTATTTTGTTGAGGATTTTTGCACTGAGGTACATCAGTGATACTGTAATTTTCCTTTTTGGTTTGTCCTTGTCTGTTTTTGGTATCAGCGTAATGTTGGCTTCGTAGAATGAATTAGGAAGCTTCTCCTCCTCTTCAATTTTGTGGGGGAGTTTGAGAAGGATAGGTGTTAAGTCCTCTTTGAATGTTGGTAGAATGCACCAGGGACATTGTCTGGTCCTGGACTCTTATATTTTGGGAGGTTTTTAATTACCGTTTTGATCTCCTTACTGGTGATTGGTTTATTAAATTGTTTCTTCTTGATTCAATTTTGGAAGTTTGTATAATTCTAAAAATTTATCCATTTCTTCTACATTATCCAATTTGTGGTCATATAGCTTTGCATAGTATTCTCTTATAATCCTTTCTATTTCTGAGGTGTCTGTTGTAATTTCTCCTCTTTCATTTCTGATTTTATTTATTTGAGACTTATCTCTTTTATTCTTGGTGAGTCTAGCAAAAGGCGTGTCAATTTTGCTTATCTTTTCAAAGAACCAGCTCTTAGTTTCATTTATTTATTTTTTTAGTCTCTATTTCATTTATTTCTGGTCTGATTTTTAGTATTTCCTTCCCACTACTGATTTTGGGCTTTGTTCTTTTTTTTCCAGTTCCTTTAGGTGCACTGTTAGATTGTTTATTTGAGATATTCCTTGTTTGTTGAGATAGGCCTGTAATGCAATCAACTTCCCTTTTAGAACCACTACTGTTGTATCCCATAAATTTTGGCAGGTTGTATTTTCACCTTCATTTGTCTCCAGGTATTTTTTGATTTCTCCTTTGACCCAATCATTGTTCAATAGCATTCTCTTTAATCTCCACATATTTGTGGCTTTTCCAATTTTCTTCCTGTAGTTGATTTCTAATTTCATACCATTGAGGTCAGAAAAGATGCTTGGTATTATTTCAATCTTCTTTAATTTATTGAGACTTGTTTTGTGGCCTAATATGTGATCTATTGTGGAGAATGTTCTATGTGCATTATTGTTATTTTGTTACTTTTTTCTGGATGTTTTAGTAGGTCTTCTCTGTTCCTTTTTTATTCTCTTGCTCTCTTCCTTTGTGGTTTGATGGCTTTCTTCAGTATTATGTTTGGGTTCCTTTCTCTTAATTTTTTTGTGTATTTATTATAGGTTTCTGGTTTGTGATTACCATGAGGTTCATATGTAATAACCAATGTATATAGCAATCTATATTAAGTTGATGGTTTTTTTAGTTCGACATCTTGCTAAAAGCTCTACTCTTTTACTCCTCTCCTCCCACATTTTATGTTTTTGATATCATATCTAACCTCTTTTTTGGTGCATGTTTATCCATTACCCTTTTATCATGGAAATAGATGTTTAGTACTTTTGTCTTTTGACTTTCACGTTAGCTTCGTAGGTGGTTGATCTACTACTTTTATTGTATATTTGCCTTTACCAGTGATTTCATTGCTTTTTTTTGATAATTTTTTTATTCCTATTTGTGGTCTTCCCTTTTCCAGTTAAATAAGTCCTTTTAGCATTTCTTGAAAATCTGGTTTCTTGGTGATAAACTCCTTTAGCTTTTGCTTATCTGGGAAACTCTTTATCTCTCCTTCCATTCTGAGTGATAACCTTGCAGGGTGGAGTATTGTTGGCTGTAGGTTTTTTCTCTTCAGCACTTTAAATACATCATGCAACTCCCCTCTAGCCTGTAAGGTTTTGTCTGAGAAGTCACCTGATAGTCCTACGGGGTTTCCTTTGTATGTAACTTGTTGCTTTTCTCTTGCAGCTTTTAGGTTTCTCTCTTTATCTTTAATTGTTGACATTTTAATTATAATGTGTCTTGCTGTGGGCCTCTTTGGGTTTATCTTGTTTGGGGCTCTCTGTACTTTCTGTCCCTGGATGTCTGTTTCTTTCCTTAGGTTAGGGAAGTTTTCAGCTATTATTTCTTCAAATAGATTCTCTGCCCCTTTGTTTCTCTCTTCTCCTTCTGGGACACCGATAACATGGATGTGAGTGAGCTTGATGTTGTCCCAGAGGTCCCTTAGACTGTCCTTGTTCTTTTTAATTCTTTTTCTTTTATCTGTTCAGCTTGGGTGATTTCCTCAAGTCTTTTGTCCAGCTCGCTGATCCATTCTTCTGTATTGTCTACTCTGCTTTTGAGTCCCTCTAGTGAATTCTTCATTTCTAGTATTGTATTCTTCATTTCTGATTGGTTCTTTTTTATATCTTCCATTTCTTTGTTGACGTTCTTACTGAGTTCATCCGTTCTTCTCCCAAGATCAGTGAGAATCCTTATGACTCTTTGCTTGAACTCTTTGTCAGGTAGATTGCTCATTTCTGTTTCATTAATTCTTTTTCTTGGGTTTTGTCCTGTTCCCTTACTTGGAACATACTCCTTTGCCCCTCATTTTGCCTCTTTCTCTGTGCTTATATCTATATATTAGGTAGGTCACTATGTCTCCTGATCTTGGAGAGGTAACTTTATTTAAGAGATGCCTTATGAGGCCCAGCAGTGTGCTTCCCTCTTGCCGCCAGTTCTAAATGTTCCTGAAGTGTCTTCTGTGTGGGCTATGTGTGTCCTTCTGTTATGGCAGGGTTGTTCTTGTTGCAGTTGCCCAGGAGGCTAGGCTGTCTCCCTGGCCAGCTGGTTGTAATGCTCAGAGGCATGTGGCTGGTATAGTCCTTTCAGTCACTTTATCAGGTGTGGGGAGCCCCAGCACAGTTGGCTTCAAGGTTTAATAGCACATTCCTGTTGCAGGTTTTCTGTTACATGAGTAGGCCCCCAGTGTGGCTGGTTGCTAGGCTCAGGGGCTTACAATAGCTGTAGGCCTCCAGCCTGCAAGGCTGTTGTCAGCTCTCTCAGGGTTGCAGCTGAGTGGGGCTGGGCCCAGGCATGGGAGCACCCAATTATTCCAGGCTTTGGAAGGTGAGGCAGATCCCCTATGTGGCTTAAGGCTGCTCCCAGCTTGTCATGAAGTGCCACGGCTCAAAGGTGGCTTTTTTCTCTCCAGAAAGGAATTTCTGCCTCTTCCATCTCAGTCAGCACTGTCCCTCTTTGTTGGGGTTCTTTTTATCCAGTTTTCAGTTCTCTCTTAGAGTAATTGTTCCAAGAGTAGTTATAAATTCGTTGTGTCTGTGGGAGGAGGTGAGTTAAGAGTCTACCTACGCTGCCATCTGGACACTGTCCTTCTCTTGATTCATTGATTATTTGTAATTGTGTTGCCAGATTTTCTTCTGTTGTTGATTTTGTAATTTAATTGCATTGTTGTTGGAGAATATAATTTGCATGATTTCAGTCCTCTTAAATTTATGCAGGCTTGTTTAATAGCCTAGCATATGATCTATCCTAGAGAATGTTCCATGTGTTCTTGAGAAGAATGTCAGTTTGATGTTGTTGGGCAGAGCAGTCTGTGCATGTCTGTTAGGGCTTGTTGATTTATGGTATTTTCTAATGTTTTTATTTGTTTCATGATTGTCTTTCTAGTTCTGTATAGAAATTGAAAGTTATGCTTTGAAGTCTTTGACTATCAAATTGTTTATTTCTCACATTAATCATTTTGGTTTTGCTTCATGTATTTTGGAACTCTGTTCAGTGCATATGTTTTTAATAATATAGCTACCTGATAGATTGATCCTATGATCATTATAAAATGTACTTCTTTGCATATAATAACAATTTTTGTCTTAATGGCTATTTTGCCTGATATTAGTATAGCCACTGTCATTTGCTATTTGTTTTCTGTCTTTTCTCCTCTCTGTTTCTCAATTCCTGCTTTGTTTGTATTAAATAGATATTTTCTAGTGTATCTTTAAATTTATTTGGTATTCATTTTATGATTTTTTTGTTCCTGGTTGTCTTGAGGAAGATAATTAGCATCTTAAAACAATCTAATTTGGATTAATAGTAACTTATTTTCAATAATACACAAAAACTTTGGTCTAATTTCCATCTCCCTCTTTGCTATGAAATGCTATTTTCATATGCATTGCATCATTACAAATTATAAATCCATCAAAACAGTTTATAATTATTGACTTAGTTATCCTTTAAAATAGAAAGAGATGCAATCAAAAATAGGTTTATATTGACTTTCATATTAAATATGTAGCTACTTTTACTGCTAATATTTATTTATTTATTATGGATTTGAATTACCATCAAATGCTCTTTTGTTTCAGCTTGAAGGCCTCCCTTTAGCATTTCTTATAGGGCCCATTTACTAGCAAAAAGTGCTTTATTTTTGTTTATCTGGAAATTTCCTAATAGCTACTTCATTTTTTAAGGAGAGTTTAGCTGGATATAGAATTCTTGGTTGACAGTCTTTCTTTCAAACCTAGAAACATGTCATACTACTATCCTCTCCGTTCAATAGATTCTTATGACTTCAGCTTGTCATAATCTTGTTGATAATCCCTTGTATGTGATAAATTATTATTCTTTTGTTGCTTTTAAGATTTTTCCCTCTGTCTTTGACTTTCTGTAATTTTTCTAAGATGTGTCTAGGTGTGGATCTCTTTCAGTTTATTTTATTGCACTTCTTGAATGAATAGACACATATTTCTCATCAAATTTGTGAAGTCTTTGGGCATTGTTAGTTCAGATACTTTTTTCTACCTTTTCTTTATGTCTTCTCCTTCTGAGACTCTCATTAGGTGTGTATTGGTATACCTGATGGTGTCCCACAGGTCTCTGAGGCTTTGTACGTTGTTCTTCATTTTTCTTTGATTCTGATCCTCAGACTGAAAAATCTATATTGATCTCTCATCAAGTTCAAAGATTCTTTTTCTATGAGCTCAAATCTTTTGTTGAGCCCCTCCAGTGAACATTTTATTTCAGTTATTGTACTTTCAACTGCAGAATTTCTATTTTTTATAACTTACATCACTATTTATTGATATTGATATTCTGCGTTATGATGAGATGTCATGGTCACCTAAATTTCTTTAAATCTTTAGGCATGGTTTTGTTTATTTTTTTAAACAGTTATAATAGCTGAGTATAGTCTTTGTCTACTAATTCTAATATCTGGGCTCCCCTATGGGACATTT